TGTTTGTGAAGCCTATTTTGGAGCTCAATTCGAGAAGCATGAATGCACGTCGAGTCTAGGAGCCTCTACCACGTTAAATTAGGTATGTTTTTATACAAATTCAAGGCATTGGATGAAAGATTGAATATCTGTAAGGCTTCAAACAAAAGGGTCGAAGTTGCTACGAAGGCTGTTTTCTGGCAGACTTCGAGCACAAGCAAGCGGCCAGAAAAACAGCATTCGTAGCAACTTCGATTCTTTTGTTTGAAGCCTTAAAGATATTCAATATTTCATCAAATGCCTTGCCTTTGTATAAAAAAAATACGTAATTTAACGTGATAGAGGCCCCTGGACTTGACTCGCATCCATGCTTCTCAATTTGAGCTCCAAAGTAGGCTTGACAAACACGTTACCAGACTTAGCCATTTGCAGACAGTTTTCCAGTTTTGGCATAGACTTTTGGTCAGGTTCAAAAATGGTCGTCTGGACTTTCTATTGAGCTCTCAAGTACTTTAATGTGTAGAGGGAGACTTCAGCTTCAAAACAAGCCTTCAATCTCCAATTTCCATCTAGCCAATTGTAAGATATGAATCTCCAAAGTAGGCACCATGAAACTGTTTTTACACTGAAACAACGGATTAGGTCGACCTGATCCTATATGAGGTCGACCAAAAAGTGCATGTCACCGTGACATGCATGTCACTGTAGCAAAGTCCAAAACTCTAACTCCTCTCACCCTCCTCCTCTCTAGCAGACAGACGACACCACCGCCCTCCAATGTCGTCGGCCTTCGCCGACGCCGCCACTCTTCATAGCCCTCGCCGCCTGCTACCACCCCTGTCGCGCCCTCCATCATCGTCGTCCAGCAACCCTCCGCCTCCCTTCACCCCCTGCCGAGCCCTCCACCGCCGTCGCCTACCCCTCCCTCACTCCCTGCCGCCTCCGCCGTGCCTCCTCTCCTTGCCTTTTTCGGTGTGAGTTCCTCTGCCACTATACTCTTCCTCTCTTCTCCTTTGTTTTTCAGATCTGTGAGTTTTTTATTTTCATATCTGGTTTATTTTCTAGTGGTTTTTTTTTCCTGATAGTGGTACTACATGTAGTGGTACGCTACCACTACCAGGTAATGGTATCAAATGATAGTGGTACGCTACCACTATTAGGTACCAGATGGTAGTGGTACCAAATGATAGTGGTACTCTACCACTACCAGCTACCCGATGGTACTGGTACCGCTGTACTGGTAGTGGTACCAGTGGTAGCAGTAGTGTGCCATTAGCGCACTGATGGAGCGGTAATTTTTTGCAGGTGGCCGGAGCGAGTATAATTCAAGGATTTCGCCGGAGAAAGTCTATCGGTCGGAAATTCAGCCGGTCAGAGTGGTGTGGCTGCTAGAAAAAGGAGAGATAGGAAGAGAGAGAGAGTTATAGTTATTGTAGGATTTAATTTTTTAAAAAAAGCATGTATTTAATATGGGTTTTTAACTCCCAATGTATAATTAATAAAAAATTTAATTAACAAATTCATTTTTTTGTTATACCCAAAATGCCCTTAGTTGTGAATCTCACAACCCATAAGGGGAAGTGACCGTATCCCACTCCCACCCCGCTGCTTTGCCCACTGATGTGACTTGTGAGAGACCGTGTGAGACCGCCAGTAGCTAGGGATGACAATTTTTTCCCATACGCATGGGTTTTTTACTATCCAACCCAATTGGGTTGGGTATGAAATCCAAATAGATGGATATGGAGTAGAGTTTGATGGGTTTGTACCCATACCCATTTACTTTGGGTTGGGTTGGATTTATAACAAATGGATTTGGGTTTGTACCCATGCCCAAATACAAATGGATTATGGAAGCAATATCTATACCTTACCCAAACCCATCTACAAACCCCCCAAACCTATATGCACTTCACTCATATTCAACCCATTATCAATGGGTCTACTTGGGTTTGAGTATAATTACCCATGGGTGGGTAATTGTCATCCCTACCAGTAGCCCAGTATTCCCTCGCGTCACAGCCCAATACAAGAATAATCACTGGGCTCAACCCTTTAGGCCCAATCGTTTATTTGGCTGGCCGACTTCCTTTCAAGATATAAGAGGGTGGCAAAGCCCTATACCTTCCATTTTCCTAGACCCGGCCTACCTAGCTATATCTGGTCCTCTCAGCCCACACCTCCCCTAGTTAGTTTCCAGTCTAGATAACAAGGTCTTTGACCAAGAGCTAACTGAATCCATGAAACAATCATATACGAATTGGTACTGTCGTTGAATCTGATTTCCGGATACAGATGGAGTAGCGAATTTTATTGTATAGAGTTAATGTCATTTGAGCTCTAAAATATGGGTCCTAAATTCCCAAGTATATGAACTATTTATTTTTCTAGCAGTTAATTTCTAACGGTCCTAAATTCCTTCGTTTATAATTATGTCCAGTGGCGGAGCCAATTCAGAGAAGGGTGGGTCCCCGGACCCACCTTGGATTCCCAAAAATTTAAATGTACGTGTGTGCTGAAGCCAAGGATCAAACCATGGTTGTCTTGCCTATTACATATAGACCCTCCACTAAGCCATGCAAGAGTCTTTGTTATTTACACAATTTTGGTTTTAGTTAGCTATGAAAATTGAGTTACATAATAAAGGATCCACAATAAATTATTTATTCTTGAGTTTCCAATCCCTAATTGAAATCATAAATATATATATCGCCTGTCGAATTTGCCTCTTCAACCAAACGGTAGTAGAAACTCTTACCCACCACCCGTTCGTCCATTTCTTTGTTGTCGAATTTGTCGTGCCAATCTAGGGTTATGGTTGTGTAAAAAAAAACATCGAGTGTTTTCATTGGTATAGTGACTTCTGAAACTGGTATTGTTGCTACATGTTGCCACTACAAGTGTTGAAAGAGCATTTTTGCAATGAACTTCGTGAAAAAACACTTCGGAATCAGATGAGTGATGAAATTAGGAATGATTTTTCGGTTGGTTACATTGAGAGGGACATCATTGATAGTTAGGATGACGAATGTATTTTCATACTTTGCAGAATACGAAACACATCGTGCGTAAGATATTAATATAAGTTACGAATGATTTCTTTTTAGTGTTGGACCCACCCTAGTCAAATTCCTGGCTACGCCACTGGAGGGAAATGAGAAGTAAAGGAATTACTAGTGAATAGTGATCACATTCACTAGAAAAGAATAGGAGGATTGGGTGACGCCATTTACCAATCCACACCTCGACGTCATTGTTGATCTCCTCCTAGATGGGTCCTAATTCCTTGAGGATAATCGGATTTAACTTATAAATTATCATAGAATTGAGCTCGAGCCGAACTTTTTATCTTAATGATGAGTCGTATAGGTTTTAATAAACGAGAAAGCTAGTTCGAACTCGACTTTGCAAGGCTGAAAATCTTGAGGGGACGTCGTGGTTTGCAGCTAACACTTGGCCAGGATATATATGGTTTTTTTATATGCAGCAAAATGCAACATCTTAGGCAAATCTCATATTGACAAAGTACGAGAGATATCCGTAATTCATGAGTAAGAAGTCGACATTAATTACCAGACGTGTTTTTTCAGGTGAAATGAAAGAGTTCATGTAAAAGTTCCAATTTAAACGTGCTCAGCGTAACACAATGCTAGAATTAGTGACCTCCCGAAAGTTACCTGGATATAATATGCATCTAAAGACAAAAAACGTGCGAGTTTAGACCGAAAGCGAAAAATATCTTGATCGGGAAAAATGTTCGAAATGGTACAAATAATGTAAAGCATTTTATTTTATTTGTTAATGCAAGATATTGAAGCTATAAGGTACGATAACGTGGTGAACAATAATTAATATTTCCAAACCTTGATCACTATTCGAATCCATATGTACCGGCCCGCGTGCATAGATACTCATGCATGTGGCTGATGAGTTAATTAATTAATTATCTCTTTAAAAGAACAAGTTACAACTTTACTGTTTGGTAGAGTCACATCCCGCCACTGTTACTCTTTTTGCTTTTTTGGCCCTCTTGTATTTGACTGATATTTTCTCTGACGCGTTCAGGCGGCTCCCATCAAACCAATGGCACTCTTGTAATTAGCTCTCTACTCCTGTCCCATTGCATTTAATTTCATCCATTACTCTCCCTCTCTCCTTCTCTCTCACCATCACTTTTCCTCTTTCAACTCACCAATCCATTATTCTCCCTCTCTCCTTCTCTCTCAGTGACTGAAAACTGATTGAGCAATAGAAGAAGAAGAAAGAACGTGAAAGAAGAGAAGAGGGGCAGCCAAAGAAGAAGAAGAACGTAGGAGGAGAGGAGAGCCATCCAAACCTGTATATCAACAGCTAGGTTTTAGGAGAGAAGGCTGAGGCGGTTGCGGGAGGCCCCGTCGACAGAGTTGCAGGCGAGCCTGGAGAAGACGAGAAGACATGATTAGTGAGAGAGAGCATGTGGTCGGCGGCGGCCAGGGGTGGTGGGGAATGGGGATAGTGTATGGGTTTTTGCTTTGTGTTAAAAGAGGTGAAGGTTAGATTCGGTCTTTGGTAGCGGTTGCGGTGACGCCGACAAAGGTGGTGGTGGTGGTTACCGGCGGTGGTAGAGGTGAGTTGATGATCTCCATAATTATGTATGGATATTAAGTTGTTTCTGATTTAATTTTAGAGTTTTCACATGTAGATTGCTTTTGTTCACCATCCATATTCATCTCCCTCCATGACTCTAGAAGAAGATGACATTTACAGAGGATTCAACGAGGAAAATGAAACATGAAGCTCTTTCTCAACCCACCTGCACCATGACGCTGGTGTGCAACTCGACCTCCCACTTACTTATTGACGATGACACACACAAAGTAGAGCAGAATAAGAAAAGAAAGGACTCGGTGAAGAAGAAGGCCGAGGATGAGGAGATCCCAAAGAAGAACATGGAGGATTGGAAGGTAGAATCTAATTTTTGGTTTTGGCCTATTGTATTTTATTGGTTTGATTCATCATCTTCCCCATTCTTTTCAGATCAAGGGATGCCAACGAAACCGATCTGATGGCGGCAATTATCCGGAAGAAGTTCGCCGACCCGTCCAACGCTTCGTCGGAGTCGGGAGGTGCGGCGGCGGAGGTGACCTCGCTGATCCTCGACAACAGGGAGTTCGTCATGATCCTGACGACTACGGTGGCCGTGCTGATCGGGTGCGTGGTGGTGCTGGTCTGGAGAAGATCCAGCTCCCCCAAGCGGAGCTACCAGCCGCCGACGCCGTTGGTTGTCAAGAAGAAGGAGGAGGATGTGGTGGTTGATGATGGGAAAAAGAAGATCACTGTGTTTTACGGTACTCAGACTGGTACTGCTGAAGGATTCGCCAAGGTTGGTTTCGTTGCGGTTTTCCCCCCTTTCTCTCTCTCTCACACACATCTCAGCTCGCAATGGGAGCTCTCTGGTTTTTATCGATTGGGTTTGTATTTATTTGAATTGGGTAATTTTTTTTTGTTGCAGGCTCTGGCCGAGGAGGCGAAGGCGCGGTATGAGAAGGCTGTATTCAAAGTTGTTGACATGGTGGGTTGAACAACCAGAGAATTTTTCCCGATTTCATGTTAACTGTTTTATTCTGAATTGCCGAGTTGTGTGGTGGTGTTGAATTTTGTGGCCTCTGGTTTTGTTACAGGATGATTATGCCGGGGATGACGATGAGTACGAGGAGAAGTTCAAGAAAGAGTCTATAGCTTTCTTCTTCCTCGCTACGTGAGTGGATAGTCTGACTCTGCCACTTTCTAAAGCTTCCATCTTCTATTTAAATTTCTGGTTTTGTAACATGGGTTGCTTGGTGGTTGGGTGGGCAGGTATGGAGATGGTGAGCCGACTGATAATGCAGCAAGGTTCTACAAGTGGTTTACTGAGGTAACATTTCAGCTGGATTGAGTGAAATCGGCCATTGAATTCAGTCTATGGGTGGAATGTAAATTGACTGACTGCATGCAACAGGGTAAAGAAGCCAGAGGAGAATGGCTCAAGATGAATTATGGAGTGTTCGGTCTTGGCAATAAGCAATATGAACACTTTAATACGGTATTGAAGAGTGTTTTGAGATGGGTGCCTTTCAGAATTTGTTTTGATGCCTGTTTATTACGGGGATGAACTCTTGACTAAATTTATGTATTTGTTGGTTGATACTGTAGATTGCTAAGGAGGTGGATGATCTTCTGGCTGAACAAGGTACAGTTCTTTATTCCCTTGAAGTTTCGTATAGAAATGGAGTTCCTTTTTATAGTTAAATGATGGGGAACTAGAACATTTAGTAGTTAATGGAATCTGGTACACAATATGATATATATAGTGCTGTTAGATAATTGGGTGCTTCTCGTGGACTGAACCGTTTAATGAAGCTTGTAATGAGAACTAAAGTTAGGTTATGGAAGATTGATATCATGCGACTGATGGTGGTAACTCTTTGCATTGTCCAGGTGGCAAGCGCATTGCTCCCGTGGGTCTAGGAGATGATGATCAATGCATGGAAGACGACTTTTCTGCTTGGTGAGTGAGCTTACTTAGTAGTCCTTATTATTGCGCCAAAGAACTATTTCCAGATGGTAAAATTCTGATATGCCTTCTTCTCTTGATGGCAGGAAAGAGTTGGTATGGCCAGAGCTCGATGGTTTGCTTCTTGATGAGGATGATCAATCATCTGCAACCACCCCGTATACTGCTGCGGTGTTGGAATACCGGGTTGTGTTCTATGACTCCACTGATGCACCAGTAGAAGACAAAAGCTGGAGTGGTGCCAATGGTCACGCTGTCTATGATGCTCAACATCCATGCAGGTTCATACATTGATGTTTCACTGCCTGTGCTTTTACTGTTTTGCTTTGTGTAGTTTCTCAGTCTAACATAAACGATCTACTGAATCACAGGTCTAATGTTGCTGTGAGGAAAGAGCTTCACACTCCTCTTTCTGACCGATCTTGCACCCATTTGAAATTCGACATTGCTGGCACTGGACTCTCGTAAGTCATGGTGTTTATAAAGATATAATATATTTGTTCTGTTTTAAACATCACACAAACGCTCATCACTGCGTTTGTTTCTCAGATATGAAACTGGGGATCATGTTGGTGTGTACTCTGAGAATGTCGAGGAGGTTGTAGAAGAGGCACTGCAGTTGTTAGGTTTGTCGCCCGACACATACTTCTCCGTCCACTCCAATAAAGAGGACGGGACACCACTCAGTGGAAGCTCATTGCCAACACCATTCCCACCGTGCACCTTGAGAACAGCTCTGACTCGATATGCCGATCTTTTGAATGCTCCCAAAAAGGTTAGAATACTTGTACTATTCTTTCACGTTTCTGCTCTTTTTCAAAGCTGATTGGAGCTCTTCTCTAAGAAATTGTGCATCTTCCATTTCCAGTCTGCTTTGCTTGCTTTAGCAGCTCATGCTACTGATCCTACTGAAGCCGATAGATTGAGATATCTCGCTTCACCTGCTGGCAAGGTGCTGATTTCTGACACAAGACTTTAGTTGATTTTATCACTTGTATTGGTGGTTTAATAGGTAAGTTAACAGTCGTTCTCTTTTCTTTTAACATTCTACAGGATGAATATGCAAAATGGGTAGTTGTTGAACAGAGAAGTATCCTTGAGGTCATGGCTGCATTTCCCTCTGCAAAGCCTCCACTTGGTGTTTTCTTTGCTGGAGTTGCTCCTCGCTTGCAGCCTCGATTCTATTCTATCTCTTCATCTCCAAGGTGAGCATAGTTTTACCCTTTTCTTTTCCCCCTCAATGATCTATTTTTCTTTTCTAGACTATTTAAACTTTTCATCTACTAATCATCAACAATTGATTTCTAACAGGATGGCACCATCTAGAATCCACGTGACTTGTGCTCTGGTGCTTGAGAAAACTCCAGGGGGACGGGTGCACAAGGGAGTGTGCTCAACTTGGATGAGGGTATGTACTATTTTCTATCATGTGTTTGCGCAGCTTGCTTTTCTATTTTTCTGACTGGATGCAGTGGATAGAGAGGCAAATGGTAATGGTTCACCTTTGATCCTACAGAATGCTGCTCCTATGGAGAAGAGTCAAGACTGCAGTTGGGCCCCCATTTTCATTCGGCAATCGAATTTCAGACTTCCTGCAGATACTAAAGTTCCCATCATAATGATTGGTCCTGGGACTGGACTGGCTCCTTTCCGGGGCTTCCTGCAGGAAAGACTAGCACTCAAAGAATCCGGAGCAGAACTTGGGCCCTCTATCTTCTTCTTTGGTTGCAGAAACCGTAAGACGGTAAGCTGCTGTTTCCATGGATTCTGGTGCATGGGTTTTGTTGTGATTTTTCGTGGTCTCACGATGTCACGGTTTTAAATTCAGGATTTCATCTACGAGGATGAACTCAACAACTTCGTCGAAGCCGGTGCACTCTCTGAGCTGAATGTTGCCTTCTCGAGGGAAGGAGCTACCAAAGAGTATGTGCAGCACAAAATGATGCAGAAGGTAAATCCTCTCTTTTGTGGCTTCGGTGCAATGATCACCATCTTTCTGTTCTTGTTGGTACCGGTTGCATAAAAGCATTGTCTCACCTCATCATTTTCATATGTATGTGAAAGGTGCACGACGATTTCCTCTGCATTTTTTTGCTCAACGAGTTCATTAGTGCCACTGTAGAGGAAAAGCTTCAAGAACCGATGGTCAATTAGATCTTCGTCACAGTAGCTTGCACGAGGACAGTGGCAATGACTTGGTGAAATCTTTACCCTCTTTTCCTTTTTAAAAATTCCTCTACAAAATTTGCAGAATCGAATCTATTTCTCAAGTTGTCACCTGGGTGATTGCTCTATCGTATATTTTTCTCTTTCATTCCAATTTTCTTTGTTGTTTTTCCATGATGTATATCGTTGCTTGATTTTTTGTATTATTATAAAAGAGGATAGGAGGATCGCCAAGGTCTCCCAGTTGATTAAACAGCTCTCATCTCCTGAAGGAAAAGAAGAGGTAAAGGCAGAGGCTCAAATTTGGGACAAGTACTCCTGCTGGCCAGTTCCTTGAGTAGTTCCCTCATGACTTTTTGTTTGGAAATTGTGCAGAGACGCATCAAAATTCAATGGAGATGATTTCTTTATGTTGATGGTTTTGGGAGGTCAAAAGTTCCCCTATTGTCTGTTGGTAAAGGCATGTTTGCCGCCTTTCTTCCCTTTAATAGTGTGGTTCAGTTCATTTGAATTTATCAGCTTTGAGATTGTCTTTCTAACTTAGATTTTGGTTGGTTATTAGCCGCTGTGGAGATGGGGATTGAAATGTATAAATATGGTGGTTTCAGATTTTGTGGCTCCTTGATATCAATGGTCACTTGCAACATGCAACAGTACAGAGGGATGGAGATGAAATGTAGAGCTTTCCTGCAACTACTCTATACTTTCATTGTTCAGGTACTTCCTACTCTGCTTCATTAGATACTTCCATCTTCCAATGACTGTCTTGCTTGCTTCTGCATTTTCAGTTAAATATTTGGTTATAATCTGGTGCGCTTCATCACTGGATGCTGATTGCCAAGATTTAAATGCTTAAACATGTTTTTTGTAGATAATTGGTGGCACCTCACACTATGATGCGCTTACAAGTTCAACTGCTTCTGGAGTAAGTTGTCTTGATTTAATGGTTGATCATGTGCTGCGTTTGTTTTGAAAACATTGTGCCCCGTTTGGTTCTTTGTGGTCTACCGTGTTCGTTATTCTTTTCTCCCTTCTTTAATGATAGTGGGACATTAAATTGATAGAATAGTTCTGTTTTCAGCATTCATTAGGACCAGAGAGTCAGTTATAAGGCCAATTCTTCAAAAGATGTGCAGTTGTTCCCATGAAAGAGAATTAAGAGAAGAATCCCTTACCTGACTAGACTTTGCAAATCATTGTCGTTTACAGTACGGGTCTCTACGCATTCGCTGCTTACCTTTAGTTCTCCGTTTTTTTTAATCTTCCCCTTCCTTTTTCTTCTTTCTTCTTTGCAGCCTTTGGTTCTTACTTGTCATTGATATGCCGTTTAGTTGCTTCCATTCCTTACAGATCCGCTCACAGTCTACAAAATTTGTTTTGCTTTGTTAGTTTAGAGAAGTAGGAGTACATTGGGCCAGTTCTGTATCATAACTTCACTAGATGACCTTGCATAGAATTTGTAATTGCCAACATCAGCTCAGAGAACCCGATGTCAGATGGATAATACAACCAAGAGTTTATAACTGATCTACTATCAGAAATTGACTCTCTTACCCTGCTTGCTCTACCCAAAAAGGTTTCCTTTCCGTCAACTTCTCTACTTATGCCTTTCGTTTCCTTCGAATTGTTGTATATGGGTCTACTGTAAACTTGATGCGTGCACTTAATTACTTAAATATTGCAAGTGTCCATGCTTTTTAGTCAAGTAGCTATGCTAGGGACTCTTGGCATATGCTTGAAAGCATGTTTAGTTTGTTATCATTGCCCATTACGTACTTGATCTTTAAAATCAGTGATGCTATTACTATTTAGACATATACACTTACACGGGAATTTGAACCTGAGTGAAGTTGCTGTCGATTCACAAGCCTCCGTGTCCCTTTGCTTAATGTTCTTCATTTGGTGGTCTAATCAATTATGATGTTCTGAGGCCTGGCTTCTAATGTACACTGTGTAAGCAGGATTTATTTGTTTTTCTATTGCTGGGTGTATAAATTATACTTGAAAGGAGTTGTCTGAAAGGGCTAATGAGAATGGTGTCATTTTCCATTCCCTTTATCACATGGACCATGGAGCAGTAAAGGTTAGAGGTGGGGTACTGGAGTTATAAAGAGGGATGAAGTTGAAACATATCTTTGGTTCTCTCAACACAACTTCTGTTTCCCTCCAAAAATTTCCTTCTGAGAATTATTTTTCTTGCACGGTAATTTTGCCTTTTAGGTTTCCCGTGTATTTTAGTGGAGGATACAAGTAATTGAAAGCTTGCTGCAATTCTTTGTTGCACCTCTCACTAACGCTGATTTTGCACTTGCAGCATCATTTTCCCAAATGTATCTTTTATTATGAGGATTCCACTGAAGCATATTTGATTATGCCAATCAATTATTATGATTCAATTGAAATTTAATTTTTAAACACAATTCCATTCGAATTCAATTGTTTTTGTGTCATGTTGGACTAAAGGACTTAGTAGAGAGTTTCCTGCTGGGGTTAATTCTTTTTTTTTTTTCTTGGTAGGAAGGGGTTAATTCTTTTGAGATACATGACCGACTGATATTGGTTTAATCAATGTCCATAGATACCTTAACCCAAGTTAAAGTTCCGATTCTGGCCTATGCTCTTTCAGCTACTGGTTTTGTAAGTTCTAAAATGTTGATGCCATAAACATTTAGTGGTTATTCATTAGGGTTCTTTCATTTTTCCAATCAAAAGCCTGGGAACTTAAAAAGAATACATGTGTGGATTATTTCAATGCACTACTATGATTGAGACAATACTGCCTTTCCCATTCTCCTCATTGTTATAGGATTGGGGAACTTAGCAGCCCTTTAATTTGTGTTATTTATTTATGTCGTCAGTGTTGGGTTTTGGGTTGGGATATCTTCATTTTTCCTGGGTTTTTGGTTGCGGTTTCACACTCTTTAATTTGTTTGTATAGGAACATATAAACAAATCCGCATTTGATGCGAAGCGAAGTGAGCGGGTCCTTCCTAGGAATAGGTGGGTTCGTGTGATTTGGTGCTAGGAATTGGTAGGTCGGAGCAAGAGAATTGATGCTTTTGCAGGTTCGTTGTATACTTCATTTGTCTTTCCTTTTAGATTTTTCTTTTTGGTCCGTCCTTTGGTTACTGATGTTTTTATAAGTAAGATGTGGAGGGTACAATTTCTATGTCTGCCTTACCGCTTTGCAAACCCACAATCCTTTTTCTTCTCAGTCTTCGTGTTTGGTTTATTTACTGCCTCGGTTGTGTGAGTCAGACTTTTGGGGAACTGGATGAGGGGGGTCATTGAACTGCCGGAATTGGTCTGTAAAATTCATGATATGTATTTATGTTTCTTCGCACTAAATCTATTATTCCTTTGAATGGGTAAAGTACACCGGGTTTGATTCGGATTCGATACCGTTAACTGTGCTGTTATTTGATTCCTCTCTTTTGTTGTCAATATGATTTCACAAGTTTAAGGGCAAGTATTTGTGCAATTGTGTTTGGTAGGCACATGGTGTCTTTCATAGACTATTTAGTTTCATTTTGGGATCTAAACCAAGTCAGACTTGAACACTGAACTTAGAGTGCGTCTGATGGATTATTTCCTGTTTACAGATTGAAATTCTCCATTGGTCTTGACATGTCTTTTTTTTTATGGTCTAACTATAGTAGATTCTCTAGCCTTACATCTTGGATCCATTAGCATATATAATCTCGAAGATGTTTTTTTCATTAATTTAAATTTCAGTTGTTAAACTTGGTTCGGTTTGTTTGCATTAGCTTAGTACTTCCTGAACAAACTTTATTTTTTGTTCTAGGTCCTTTCACTCTTGTCCCACTGGAATGGAATGGAATTTGAAAATATACTAGCCAAACCTGCTTATTCACAAAATACAAAATTACTTGGATAGATATGAAGTCTTATATATATGAAGAAACTTGCTCTAAAATATCATGATTGGTCCATAATCACTCATCGATTTAGAAGGTTCTATAATTGATGGGTTGGAAGGAACTATGAGTTTGTTTTGTGGTAATTAACTATGACCAACGCCATAAAGATGGATGGCCATATTTTCAGACCTGTTACCTAAGTCTATTTGCGATGGACAGGATGTATCGAAGACTTGGTGCTTGTGAGGATACTGTTGAGATTTTATGGTGGTCAGATGAGAAAATTGAAGTGTGCTTTTAGGCTTCAATTTAGTTACGGGAAGCCTTCCGTCGTGATGATATATGCAAGTAAGGTTGGAGTCCAGTCTTCTTTGTTTTCATTGTTTCTAGCTTTGGAATGATTTTGAATTGGTTGATAGGCCCTGTGGATCCCCAAGAACATCAGGTGGTCGGATGATGAGTTCCTAGATCTACAATGTTGAAACCGTTCTGATTTCGCGTGCCTGTAGATTCCTTTTTATTACATTTGGCCTATCTTTGCAACCTGTGAAACAAAGTGTGTGATGATGCCGTTGCTGATTTCTTATACGAAAATTGTGAATCTTCTTCCATTCGCAGGTTGTGAAATAAAATATGCAGTTTTGAATTCAAGGACTTTATGAAATGGACTCAGTTTGCTAGAGTTTTCTATTCGGTATGGTTGTGCTGGTGTTACTTTCCTGTAGGCATAATCTCTTTTTTAAAAGGAAGACCAGAAAGCTAGCTTTCTCAACTGAATTGCAAACTAAAAAAAGTCGAAGACCGTCATTCCCTGTCCACATATATATGCTTCATTATGTGTTTGGATGACAAGATGCACAATTCATGAACTAACTAATAAGAAAACCTATTGTGCATTATTCTTAGGAAAGGAGAATGCTTAGGGAATGCAGCAGCCGAAAGAGGGAAGTGGGAAGAGAGTAGTAGGGTTGCCGAACTGACTTACACTGAGAGAGGAAGAATGAATAGTATAAGGAGGGAAAGGAGAAGATGAGTTGGTAGAGGAGGAGAAAGACTCACATGCTGGCAGCACAATTTCCTTGCTTCCCGCTCAAGTTTTGAGGATCCGGTACTTCCTCCTCCCTCACCGCTCTCACTGTTGTTTTAGTTTTTCAGAATGAATGACAAAGTGCAGAAGAAGAAGCAAATTAAGAACTCTTTAGCATTATTGGTGTTGAAATTGAACGTTTTTAGGCATATATATAAATATATTGGTATTGAAATTGGAAGTTTTTAGGCATATATATAAATATAGGGGTGTGAAACGGTTCGGCCCGGACCGTACCAAACTCATGAGAACCGCGATCCATTGGTGACATGCATGTTAGGACCAAGGACCGGACCATTCTTGCATTTGGTCCGGTTCAGTCCGGTCCAAATATGAGCTCGGTCCACCATTTCTTCAGTAATTATAAAATTCATGAGAACCAAGGATCGGACCGCATTTTACTCTATCTGGTTCGATCCGGTCTTAACAACGGTTTGGTCCGGTGTGGTCTGGTACGGACCGAACCATTGCACACCCCTATATAAATATATAATAGGGGAAATGCGTGTTTGAAAGACTGTCATTCTTTTTCTTTTCTTAAACTCCATTCTCTTATAGATTTGATGCTATTTTATTTCACATACTGAGTAGACTTGAAAATATTGTTGCGTTGTTTACAATCGTTCGTGTTTTTTGTGAAAGAGAATGACTATGGATTTGCATTCCTCGAAATAGATAGAGATATCATGTGTACAACTATTCTGCATCGTTGTCAATCACGATATATTGTCTCAGGTTGTAACATGTTGGAATTGTTCTTTCCCGCATGTTCTTTCTAAGTATATAAATTTTTAAAAATTTGATGCCTTTGGTTGAATTTATTGGTGTGGGTTCGAGTTCAGTTCCAGCTTGCGTTGGAACGAAGGCTTTCCTTCCATGCTCAATACAGTAACGTGAAGCAAAATACACCAATAGTACTTCAAATTGGTGTGAAAGGATGTCTTAGGGACTTGATGTAGTTGTTCATAGGTCGATTTTGCTACATGCATGCTTTCTGTCTCATTTAAATAATAGTATAATACTCTAATTGAATGCGTGTTGGACTTCCTTTGTACCCCGCTCTGTTAATGTGTAAACACGATATGTACTCTGGCTAATTCGAATGTGGTGTTGGTCGGAGTGATCCTTCTCCAGTTTAGGTCTTCCTTTCTTGCTGCTTGCTAGACAGTCAGGGCCCTCCTTTCTATTGACTGCCTTGAAGCATTCTCAATGTCTATAAGTTAGTTTGCCAATTTTATGTTGGGTATTTATGAATTCTAAAAGGGTAATCATTTGTGAATTTATGAACTCTGTTTTACGTCTGAGATTAGAATGCCTAGAGCCTAAGAAAACATCCTTTTGGTATATATCCAAACTGTGCGCGTTCATCTTTCCACCTAACTTTGCTCTTTTAAATGAGATACTGTTTTCATTTCGTGATATTTTTCACTAATGTAATTATTTACATAAAGTTAATTGCACTATCCAAATGAACAGTTGAATTGCTTTCATGCTGTGAATTGCTTAAATCACGGTTGTAGATTTTACTTGGCCTAAATTTCATTTATATGCAGCTCCTTATCCAACTTGGTGGATGTACATGTTTCTTTGCCTTCCAAGAGTGAGTGAAGAAATGATCCATTACCAAGCTAATCGACCTGCCAATTCTCTAATTCCTTAGATTTTGACTTTGTTGAAGAGACGGGTAAGGATCAAGCTTCTTTTTGAACGTATGTCCTTTGAGATTTGAGTTAAACAAGCTGATCTTAGAAAGCAAATTGCATCTGTTTTTTCCGTTGCCTTATGGAAAGTCCAAGTCACCATTATGGTCTTTGTTTGTACTACGTTGAATATTAATGTGAAACATCTTTTCTTTTCTTCCTAAGGGATTTGCAATTTCCTCCAGCATTACTATCATCGTCTCTTTTGTAGCCTTCTAATATTATCGTTCTCAATCGTGCTTAGCCAATGACCTGTTAAACAATCATTCCAACAGTTTTGAATCCCGCCGCGGAGCGCGGGCTTTCCGCACTAGTTATTATTAATGAGATGAAACCAAAAGTCAAATTGTGCGTTCGTTTCCGGGTCAACTATATAAGCATGTAGTCAGCTCCCGCGCTTGGAGAAACAAACATATCTGCGCCCCTTATTATTCTATAACATAAAGCGACATCTTAATTAGTTTGTAGGCAATATTAATTAGCACGTGTCATGCATTAATGGAAATTGAAATTTGAAACAAACCTCAAGTCAAGTTATATGTCCCTTTCCGCGGTCAACAATTTGGTACTGTGTAGAATACGATCGAGTACGTGTCTGTATACAATGGAATGAAATGTATGCACATATATATTGAAGCACAGCTTGAAGAGTTGGCATTCACAAAGCAAGCGAAGGGAAAAGATTGGAGGAGAAAGCGTTGGAGGAGAAGAACTAAGGAAAAGACGATCGAGCTAGCTAGCTAGCGTTCGGAAGAACATATAATTCAGCCCAGGTACGTAGCTATATAGAAATTTGGTGTGTCGTTGTGTACATACGATTTTCTTCGCGATAACAAGAAGTATATACATATTGTTCTTAATTACTCGATTTATTCTCGATTTATAATCACAATCGCATCCATATATAATGAATTAGTATTCTTTTTTTTTTATACAGGTAATAATTAGAATGACTGCAAGTCAATCAATGAAAGTTTCAGTAAGGTCAAGCGAGATTGTGAAACCGCGGCCATTAAAGTCCAAGACGGCCATGAATGGTGAAGTTGATGAGGACGAGCAGAGACGTCGTCCTCCTTTCAAATTATGCTTTCTGGACCAGGTCACTCCACCATACTACACTCCGCTCGTCCTCTTCTACCCTTTGACCAGGAAGGAGAGCAAGATCGCTCACTGGAGCCCCGAATTGATGTCCAAGAACCTCAAGGAATCGCTATCCCGCGCCCTCGACTCCTTCTACCCGCTTTCCGGAAGGGTGAAAGACAATGCCATCGTTGACGACTTCGAAGCAGGCGTTCCCTTCGTCGAAACTCGCATCCAGGGCCATCGTGTCTCCGAATTTCTCGACCCTCCCAAGCTAGAATTTCTCAACAAGCTTCTCCCCGTCGAACCATGTTGTCGCCACACCGAACCAGGGCAGTTGCCTCCTCCACAAGTTACCGTTCAGATGAACACATTTGACTGCGGTGGGATCGCAATCGGCTTGTGTTTCTATCACCAGACCATGGATGGCGCCACCATAAGCACGTTCCTCGAGACTTGGGCGGCTCACTCCCGCCAATTAATCACGCCTGATGATAGTGCTAACAAAATCGCACACGTGTCCGCAAAGGATTTGTCGGGAGGATACTCCACTTTCCCGCCTCCGCCATCTGGCGTCCCGCCTCAGTACGTGTCTTTGATTGACACGCTGTGGTTTCCACCTGAGAAGAACACCGCCGCCACAGCCGCAACGACCAGGAGATTCGTGATCTCGAATCGCGCAATAGCCACCCTGAAATCTCGGGCGACGGGCATTGAAAATCCTACTAGGACCGAAGCAATATTGGCTTTCGTTTGGAAATCCATGCTGGCAGCGGCCGCAGATTCCGAATCTCCGAAGCCGTCGTGTCTTTGTCAAGCCGTCAACTTGAGGTCAAGAATGAAGAAGAAGAATAGTACTCATGGTCATGATTTGGTATTTTCACCACACTCCATTGGAAACCTCTTCTCGGTGGCGGTGTCGTTTTGTGACAATCCTGATGATGACGTGGACGATGACGTGGATAAAACCCGTACTAGTCTGGTCAACACTTGGGATTTGGCGGTGCATATAAGGGGAGGAGTGAAGAGATTGTTGGATGAGAAGTGGCTGGGCCTCTTATCATCCGAGCAAGGTGCGGAGATGGTTTTCGAAGGGATGAAGCAGTTGCGAAGCGGTCAACGCCCATTTGTGAGCTTCTCGAGCTGGATCGGGTTCGGGTTCGGTGACGTGGATTTCGGGTGGGGGACGCCAGCGTGGAGTGGCGTGGTGGGAGAAGCTAGTGGGAATAACCCTATTATGGGTAACACGGTTCTCCTCAAGGAATTAGCACCCAAGGGCGAGGAGATCAACAATGGCGTCGAGCTGTGGATGAGGGTAGATCCCGTTCTGATGGCTTCTCTTGAAAAGAATCCTCAATTCTTGGAAATGGCGTCTCCTAATCCTCCTATTGTTTTCTAGTGGCCGGTCACTAGTAATTCCTCACTTCTCCCTTCCTCTTTTGATGTTGTTGATTTTAACCTATTCATATGTTCGGTTGCATGTTTCCCCAATTCATATATCCTCGCATGTTTCATTTGCTTTCTATGTTGTTGTATCGTCATTTTAATAATAAGTTCTTTCTGTCTTTGCACTTGTAAGTTGTAATACGAGTAATCGAGTATGAACGTTCCGTACGTCTGATTTTTAGTGTTCCTAGTTTGGGCCCTTAACTAATGTGTGATTGATCACGGGCCAGGCTCCGAAGATGAATGATCTGGTTGGGCTCTTCTTTTACTAGGCCCAGTTCTTTAAGAGTTGGCACTGGCACCCAAATTGAAATGAAGCAAAAAAAAAACAACTAAAACAAATTAAGGACGTGCTCTGCAATAATAATGGGGGCGCCTTTAATTTGCTGGAAATCGACTAGTCCACCAATATGTACACACTAGGTAGACAGTACATGCAGCTGAGCTCCTTAATGTTTAGCAACCCTACAGGCTACATGTCGGTTCGTTCGTATATATGACCGCTATCTTACTCAAGCTCGATCACAAGTTTACTATATCTTTGTACCTAGCTACCGTCACCGATGCCGTTTCCTTTGCCTAGCATTTCATTCACTGTTAATAAGTCATTATTAGTATCATATGCTTTTCCTTACGCCAACCGTGAGCGTGAAGTATATCGTGTGGTTTTCGTTTGAGCAAGCATGTCAAAAAATGCCTTAAGAGGAAGCTAGGTTACTGCTGCTGTTGCATGCCTAACACTTGATACATGAGGAGGATCATTCCGAGCACAGGGATGAAGATTTTTCCGGAAGCACAATGATGGCTAGTGGGGAGTGCTGCAACCATTGACTTCAACATACGTAGCCAATTAGGCACGCCACTTTTAAACTAGTTAGCACGATCGGCATACAATCAAGAGCCGAAGATTCCATGAAAGATTTGTGTTGTGAACTTGTAATCCAAACTAGTGACATTCATCTAATTAATTAGTCATATCCCCATCATTCTTACTTTCTTAGAAAAAAATCTATTGGTGGCCATCAATATGTTATATTATCAATTCAAAGAGGAAAAATTGTGTTGTTTGCTTCCATAATTTATCGAATATTCAGAAAGGTAGGGTAGTGCCTGATACACCCGTCATAAGAGTTTGGGGGAGGGGGGAGGTTTGATGGGTTGTTAAGTAATTGATATATCCATAAGATTATTGATGGTAGTGAGTAGGAGTGTAAGTTTGTCCCTAAAAATTCACCGACCCGTCCCGTCTCTGAGCGTCGGGTGGGTCAGCTTTTGACCCTATAAGGGTCGGGACAACTTAAGGACGGGTCATTTTTTGACCCTGTGACTCTTAGCAACAACAAATATCTCATACCACATTGGACGTCTTTGTAAAAGTTTTCAAAGTTTAGGTACTATTTTACCACCAAAATGTAAGGCCTTATTTGTAAAAAAAATTAGGTACTAAATTTTAAGAAAAAAAAATAATTTTGGGTAACAAAACTTAATTTGCAAAAAAAGTAGTGTGCAAATTAGGATCTACTCGTCCCGACCTGTCCCATCCCTTGAGAATCAGACAGGGTCAAGATGAAGACAGGGACGGGACGAAACAGTTCCTTTAGTAATCTTTTTCTGTTTAGAAAGGCTTAGATAATGGAATTATTGAATAATGATTATACCAAAGCTAGTATAGGTTAGCAATTATATACATACATGTACACAGAACAGGCATAAAAGTAAGAGATCAAATTAACTTTAATCTCATGCAGAGGAGAGATCGGAATATATTGTTGGGAGTCATTTGAGGTTTTGACACTTGTAAATCATAGTACAAAGTGGGGCACAAGATGATCAGTAAGTTAAAAAAAATGGGTTGGGGCGTGCAAAATGGAAGCCATGTGAGGAAAGGAAGAGCAAGAAGCAATTTTCTTGCTAATTAGTAGAATGTTGGGGTTACATGTGCCACACAGGGAGTGACTGCTAGAATTCAAAAATACTTCCTTCTTTCAAAATATAAATAATTAAATATAATTAAAACTAATAATGTCTAATGGAATTGGAATTAACATGATACATTGTGTCATCGCGGCCTGAAATGATGAATTACCATAGTGATGATGATTTTTCTTTTACAGAAGAAAGATTGGTCGATCCTTTTGGTGAGAAGGTGAAAATCAATCCATTGGAGCACTAGCAGTATTAATGGGTAGCTAGGGAAAAGGTCCACCACCAGACCAGCCAGAGTAGACAAGAGAATGGTCTCACTAGTCTCTTCTCATCTCATGATCATGTCATGTGGGTACTAAACAAAATGCTCTCACGCAACGCAAGCTATCTGGTTCACTGGAGAATCATATCGTAAATAGTAAAAACTAAAAAGTGAATTATTAAAAATTTGACATTTTGAGAATTTAGGATGAAGAAATATCAGCACAACTAATAAAACCCGGTCGAGTGGGGAAAAGTCCTTGAATAAGGTTCTTATTGGTTTATTGGGGAAAATTCCACGATCAGACTTCGATGATGAGGTGAGGAGACGTTATCTTGCATGTAAGAGAGAGAGAGAGAGAGAGAGAGAGAGAGAGAGAGAGAGAGAGAGAGAGAGAGAGAGAGAGAGAGAGAGAGAGAGAATTACTTGATCATCTGGAGGTAGGTGACATTATTGTAGTTTCTCCGGCGAGCGGCTGAGGTCGGCCGGCGGCGGAGGTATAACGCAATTGATGAAGTGATGCAATAAATAGATAATTAATTAGCTACCGAAGGAAGAATCCAAAGGGATAGCATGATCCAAAGGCAACATTTACACGAACGAACTTTCTCTTAGGATCAATGCGATCCCTTTGGATGCCTCCTCTAGTTGCAGTTTCTTCTTCTTCTTCTTCTTCTTCTTCTTCTTCTTCTTCTTCTTCTTCTTCTTCTTCTGTGTATGGAGCCCCTTCCCATTATAATTTATAACTACACAACTCTTCCTCTCTCTCTCCCTCGACTTTGTCTTTGAGATCCAATTAATGATGAGGAAAATGCTCCTTTTTTAATTAAAAGGGAAATGAAAAACGAGCAAATCAGCGGGTCGCGCCAAATTTCATATTAAGAAAAATAAATATTCAAGAAATTAAAACTAGATCAACTTGGTTTAGACTTTTAGTTTTCCAAACTATACTTTAATTAATAAATCAACCGAGCAGCTAGTAGGAGGATGAATTTCCAGTCAACATAGAATTTGATTCCTGATGTGGTTCAACAAGAATGATCTGCCTATATAGTATATATTCTCTCATCAATATATAAAAAAGTGTAAAAAAAAATCTTGAAGAGGAAAACAAATCGAACATAATGTCGAATAATTGGTGGCAATAATAGCATTTAATATATTTTTTATTTTTTATTTTCCTTAACTTATTTTGAATGAGCCCTTCTGTTCTATGGTGGTCCTCCAGTCCAAGCTACTCCACATTGTTCCATTCCATCTCTACTCACAACCAACCCTTCCTCTCTTTTCTTTTCTCTCAATACTTTCTCCACAAGGAATACATTCCCAATCCATTAATAAATAGACAATACCAATGCTAATTACAACTACAATATATAGTACCAATAAAATAAATGTGTATTATTAAACTATACAATATCATGCATGCCTTGGAATAACTATTTTCCAAATTAGTGCTTTAACGTACAAAATACCATACCAGAATTTTTAGTTTTCACGTAACGTTATAAAATTTGTAAATATATATCATTGTGATAATGATAATATTGAACAAGAAAGTGCATATGGCATAGATGGATTAAAAAAAGTATGAAAGTCGTTGAATAGGGATTTAATTAACTTTGTCGGAACATAGTTGGTACGGGGTAACTTTAAGGGCTTAGTAGACCAACACTTCACAATCGATTCAAGACCAACAATATATATACATAAATATTTAAAGACCAATTGAAAGAGCGATACTACACAAACTCTCAAATTATTGAAAATGAAATGTAAACAAAGAGAGATACCAACAGTATGCGCATATGATATATATGGACGTCCATTTTACTAAGTTTATAAGGATTTAAGAACAAGTGTATGTGATAAAGAACACCATGATCAATCATATGATACAATGATTCTATTAATTGAACCGTATTAATTAGTAGGTTTGATCAGCAGATCCAAGGATTATTGTATGGCAATCAGACCCCAAATTCGATCCGCGTGGTCAAAGATGCACTCTTATCCAGCAATTTATTCTAATCTTGCTCTGCCCAACACCTTAAACATATAAATTATTTATTTTATCATATATAGGGCCTCTGACTGTTCAATTATATATTATTTCGAAGAAATCCACCCACTCGTTCGATCGTCACCACCCGTAATACCTGCCCAACGAGCCAAGCACTTTCACGTTAAATGCTTGCTATTTTGAGCTATAAATTTCCCATGATTTCTGCTTCTAAAACAGAACAGTGTTGTGTATTCAATCAACGCCACAAACGTAGTTGATTTATGAATTGATAATCACAATCATAAATTCATAATAAGAAGAGCATAAATCTATTTTTAACCTTGGTAGGAATAGGATAGGTTTGGAAACTGTTGTTAGGGTTTTTTTTTAATCACTGAAACAGGCAATGGGTCTTAGCTGTATATCCTGATTGCCAAGATTTGACTAATCTGTTAACGTCGTCAATCTCTGATTGGAGTTATAACAATGAATGATTGGCGAGAGGAAGGAAAGTATATAACAGACCCCATCTGCTGCTGCAGCTGAGCTGATCTGATGATCATCATGAGAAACAAACAAACAAACAAACAAAGAGATGATGAATAATTAGTGCATTGAAAGACAGTTTTCCTTGTGGTGCATGGATTGGCTGTCCCAAATCAGCAGCTAGCTGATCGACCCACAAAGGAAGACAGGGGCCTCGATCTTTATGATTTTACATGAGTTTCTATCATGACACACTTTAATTATTTATCTTTGG